GGAAACCGGTGCCCTGTCAGAAGTTAGGGCCTGCCCCACGCAGCTAGCCTGTTAGAGCGGATCTCCTCTGCCTGGTGTTGCGTTTTTTTGTTTTTTGTGTTTTTTTGTGTCTTCAGAAAGAACAAGTGGACACAGGCCGTTTTGTTACTGTTGCGAGGTGGGAGAGGAAATGGGGTTAAATCCCAGGTGTGCTGTCGTGCTTTAGGTACGAAGCCCTAAATCCGAAAGTTGAAAAGAGGCTTCCCTCACCCGGTGACATTGTTGTTAAGAGTACGGTGCATGGGAAAGGTTATCAGAAATAGCTGTTCTAACTTCTAGGTTGCATGGAGAGTTCTGGAATTGGTGATGTGCTGTTTTGTAACTTCATAGAGCAAAGATAAAATTCCTAAGGACTGTTCCTCAAAAGTAGTGTCTTCGCATACGTAACCAACCGTATTGTATGGAAGAGTTAGGTCTGAAGTAACCAGATGTTTTAGCAAGGCTCTGATACGAAGACAGATGGACGTTAAGAATGTTTTCAAAGTGCTGGTGTGCATAGATTGAAGACCCACATCAAAACGTACTTTTAAATATGCCATTGGGCGTAATGCAACACGCCTTTAATCCCAGCACTCAGGAGGCAGAGGCAGGTACATCTCTGTGAGTTCAAGGTCAGCCTGGGATTGGTTTAAATCGCAAAAATGAAGTGTAATCTTTATGATAAACAGTAGCTATTTGCCTTGGATGGTTATGGATTTCTTCTATTAGACTAGCATATTAAACATTCTTGTAGTTAGTGAAAGACTGGACAGGCTTTATAGGGAAAGCATTAATTCTCCTGGCTGTTTTATCAGACTTTCAGTGCATTGTGTAACAGCAGTGGGAAAGTGTCCAGTAAGTGTACATTTGTCCAGTTTCCATTGGGGGCAGGGAGGTTGGGAGGGGAGCTCTTGACTGTTTGTGTGAAACACTTTTGACTTTCTGTCCAGTAACTAATGAGGGTTCCAGTCAGAAAAGGCTAGCCCTCTTCTGCTAAGGTCCTTGTATGTTCCTGTCTTTCAGTGATTTCAAAGTTTAGGATGTAATTACAGTGCTGTTCAAAATGACATAGGATCTAACTTTCACATGCTTCAAAAGCACTGTCTGCTAGGTCCTGTGTGAACAGGTTTAATTTGTGCTGCCTAACTAGCAGTCTGGTTTTCACAGGACTCTCTCAGGTTACAATTTGTCGTAACACATTTTTGTTCACTCCAGGCGGTCAGTAGCAAAGAGTAGGAAGACATTTTCAGCTTTGCAGAAGGTACCCTTATACCAGAAGACTAATTGGTCCTTATAATTTGTGTGGCTGGGCCTGCCACTTGTGTGGCTGGGCCTGCCAGGTGGCTGAGCAGATGAAGGTGCTGTCAAGCCTTGAGGGTCTGAGTTGGAATCCGGAAGTTGTTCACCACAACCTCTATACTCCATATCCCTGTGTTTCCATGTGGGAAAGAACTTTTAAAGGAACATTTGATAGCATAATAGTTTATTGAAGCCCAAGGACTGAAAGGAACAATTGCTGTCCCCCTGTGACCTCTTTTAGCTAGTGGCACTTAAAAAAAAACCTCGAGTTATAAGTCACAGTAGAGGCTGTTGGGGAGGGAAGTTAACTTTGTCACTTGACTACTTTTATAATCAAACAATGAAGGGAGACTAAACTTTGGAGCATCATCTCGGTAGAGTGAAAGAGAAGGAAAACCTTTGGGAGTGGGCTATGGTCTTGCTCTGTAGGCCAGGTTGACCGGAGCGTGAAGCCTTTCTCCCTCCGCCTCCAGTGCTGAGACGGGGCCTTTGCGATTCCAGTCCCAGCCCCGATGATTGAATTTTTAAAAGCAAGTACACACATACCTTATAATCATTACCTGTTTTAAGGTACAGAACATTTTCATCACCCTCCAATGCCTCTCCTGTCATCTCTCCTCAGTCATTACTCTGTAAATAGCAAAGTGACCTCTTTAACTGTGACTCTGCCTGTTTTGAACTTTGTACAATATAATTTTTTTCTAACTGCCCTCTTTCCTTGATATTGAGATACAAACTCGTAGAAATAATTTCTTTTGTTTGTTTTTCGAGGCAGGGTCTCAATTTGTAGCCCTGGCTGGCCTGGAACTTTCTGCGTGCCTCTGCACCTGAGTGCTGGGATTAAAGGCGTGTGTGCCACCAGGCCTGGCTAGAAGTGATTATTTTTGAATGGTGCCTGACATTCCTCTGTGTGTTATCTATTTTTACAACTGATTGGTTTTTGAGCCATCTCTAGTTTTAGGACAGGCACTATGTATATGCCTTGGTGTTCATAACATTTGATTCTATTGCACTAGTACCAAGAGAGGAATTTGAGGTCACAGTGTACACAACTACCAACCAGATTTCCGTGGTGGCTTTGTATTTACTTCTAATCTAGCAGCATTGTATGTGAGTTTGAAATTCCATTCACATGGCTTGCTAAACATCTCTATAAAATTTAAGTAGCCAGTATTAGAGATGGCTCAGCAGTTAAGAGCACTGGCTGCTCTTCCAGATGAGCCGGGTTCAAGTCCCAGCACCCACATGGCAGCTCATTACTGCCCGTAACTCTAGTTTCAGGGGATCTGACACCTTCATACAGACACATATGCAGGAAAAACAGGAATGTACATGAAATAAAAATAGTTTTAAAGATTTTAGGTAGTTTCAGATTACTAAAAGAGAACTACTAGAAAATCACTGAATGCTTAAATTGATGCTAACTCTGATGCCTAACCTTCTGTTTTAGATATGGCTCCCCC